AATGACGAAATTGATATTTATGGCTACAAACGAGTCACAGGCAGTGATCATGAGCGAGGTGATCATGGATTGACGCTGTGCTCCGCAACACAGTCAGCGTTCACTAGGGCAGAACGTGGGGCAGACGCAACAGCAAAGCTACGTGCTTCTGACCCAACGCAGTGGTGGTGGTTTGAGACTCAGAGGTGTTTTTTTTTGTTTTCATTATTTTGAGACAAGGTCTTATTTGCTCTCTTGCCCAGGCTAGAGTCCAGGCCATCACCACAGCTCACTGCAACCTCAAACTCCTGGGCTCAAATGATCCTCCCGCCTTGGCCTCTCCAAATGTTGGGATTACAGGTGTGGACACCACACATGGCCAATATTTAACAGAGTTGAGCAGCAAAAACAAAAGTGTCTATGATGATGGGGCCAGATACAGAAAAGTGGAAGGAGGAGACTGGGCTACATGGTATCTGTCCTGATCATTTCAATTCAAGTCTTGAGATAATTTAAAATGGGTAGATGTGTTATTGATCAAGCCAAGCAGTAGAAAGTTGTATAAAAATAATCTGATCATGATATTGATGCTGTTTCATATTAACAGTGCTTGGAATGCCACACATGCCAGGAAAGAGAGAGTAAATGGGGCAGAAACAACCACTTTTTCTCAAGTTGTGAATTCCACTAGCTAAGACCAGCTCTCATAACTACACAGTCTACTAACCATTGCTTTAACCGCAAACTTGTACCACCGACCCTTATGTGGTCAAATGTACAGTAAATTCGACCACATAAGGGGAGGTAGTACAAATTTGCGGTTAAAGCAATGGTTATGAAATCAGACAAATGTAGCTTCCAATGATGGCTCTACTGTTGACTAGTATTATGTACCCAGAAAGAATTCTTTTTAATTCCAATTTCTCATATCTTAGAAGGTGATAATATATTTTCTTCAGAGGGTAGTTATAAGAATTAAGTCAGATGATACGTAACATAGTGTCTGACATACATTAAATGCTCAGGAAATCATAGCTATTGCAATTTATTTCCTACACTTAAGTGAAGTACTTTCTTATGTATATCACTATTTTTATTATTATTTAATTATGACTTAAGGTGTGATTCAAAGTATGAATGAATTTCTATAAAAATGTAAAACAGGTTATCCATTTAAAATTCATGTACTTTAAAAATTTATAAGATTTCAACTGGGTGCAGTGGCTCATGCCTGTAATCCTAGCATTCTGGAAGGCCAAAGCAGGGGGATCCCTTGAAGCTCACGAGTTTTGAGAACAGCCTGATCACGAGTGAAACCCTGGGCAGCGCCTGTGGCTCAGCCCCATATATCGAGGGTGGTGGGTTTGAATCCAGCCTTGGTCAAACTGTAACAAAAAAATAGCCAGGTGTTGTGGTGGGCACCTGTAGTCCTAAGCTACTCGGGAGGCTGAGGCAAGAGAATTGCCTAAGCCCAAGAGCTGGAGGTTACTGTGAGCTGTGACACCGCAGCACTCTACCGAGGGCAACAAAGTAAGACCTGTCTCCAAAAATAAAAAAAAGAGTGAAACCCCATCTCTATTAAAAACAGAAAAATTAGTTGGGCATTATAAGGGGTGCCTGTAGTCCTAGTAGTCCCAGTTGCTTGGGAGGCTGAGGCATGAGGATTGCTTGAACCCAGGAGTTTGAGAATGCTGTGAGCTGGGCTGATTCTACAACACTCCAGCCAGGGCAACAGAATGAATTCTTGAAAAAAAAAAAAAAAATTACAAAGTTTCAAAGCTACCCTACATAATAGACTTTCCAAAGGCATCTTAGCTAGGCAAAATGTGAAGAGAGGGATTCCCTGGTAAAAGAATAAAATAGTTGATAAATTGAATAATGAGACTTTAAATGTCATCCCAACATTTTCCCTAACTTATTTAGCCTACAAAACTTTTTCATCTAACACATGTTAATAGTCTGTACAACTGATGGTTCAGAAGTCTTGAAAAATGCAGTTTCGTAATACATTGTTGAAATGTTGATAAGCTCCTCTTATTTTCCAAAAACCCACAGGATTCTTAGATTTTTACACTCACAAAAATCGTAAGATTCCTCTGAAGATTAAATAAAAAGCCTACATGACTACAAAAATACAGTCCAGGGTTGGGTATGTTTCTCATACTACACAGACATCCATTTTATTATTATGTTATCAACTGACCATCTAGAATAGGGACGGGAAGGAGGTACAAGAAGTAAAATTTAACGGGCAGCACCCGTGGCTCAGTAAGTAGAGCGCCGGCCCCATATACTGAAGGTGGCAGGTTCAAACCCAGCCCTGACCAAACTGCAACAAAAAATAGCCGGGCACTGTGGCAGCTGCCTGTAGTCCCAGCTACTCGGGAGGCTGAGGCAAGAGAACCACCTAAGCCCAAGAACTGGAGGTTGCTGTGAGCTGTGATACCACAGCACTCTACTGAGAGTGATAAAGTGAGACCCTGTCTCTTAAAAAAAAAAAAAAAGAAGAAGAAGTAAAATGTAAGGGATTTTGAAGCGGTTAAATGACACTTCATCAATCCAATTAATTCAATTAAATGAGAAATTCAGCCATATTTGTTGTGTATCTATTTTGTGCCAGCAACTGAAATATGCACAGGATAGAAAATGAATAAAGGATAAAAACCTGTATGCAAATTGCCAAAGAGGATGGACAAATAAAAAGAATAAAAGCCCATAAAAGAGCTGAAAGAGTCTGACAAAGTGAGATAACTGAGTTTATGACTTGTTCCCAACTGTAGCTTTAAAAAAAAAATGGCCTCCCCAACGTCATAGTTTTGATTTTTTCTATAGTTAATAAAGCAAAGCTACTTAAAAAGCCAAAATGTTTAGAAAGAAGCAAAAATAAAAGTATTTGTGAATTTAGTAAATTTTATTCATTTGAAATTAGCACTGACACTATTCTCATAAAGCCTCATAGGCTGAAATAAGTTCTCGTTTATTTTTGTCCAACAACTGTTTTACTGAGTCACCTATTATGTGAATAAATTCCTTGCATTTAATTAATATTTGAAAGGTCTGATTATTAAATGGCAAAGTCTAGCTAAACAAAGGATCATCAGTCAATAAGGATATGGCAAGATGGGGATACATCTATCATAAGCTTCCAACTCCGCTGCAAATGATATTCTGAGGCGACAAATTCTGGTATTTTAATTTCTCACAAAAGTATCATGAGAAATACTGCTCACATTTCTATAAATTGCTCGATCTGAAGTTACTTTGTGGCCAGTGTTAAATGCTGTCATAGGATTACACTAAATGTTAGTAAAACATAAAGCACTTGTTGGGAAACAGATATGCTTACAAAATAAAAATAGTACCATTTGGTATTATCTGACCCAACCGGTGGTCTGGTTTCACAAATTTAATAACACATTTTCCTCTCCCTACCAGTAAGTAGTTTTAACAGTTTTCTTTTTCATTATTATTGTTAAATACCTCTTCCTTCTATTACAGGAAAAGGATCTATGAAGAACATAAAGAGCCTATGTTTTAAAATTTGTTCTAAGGGTCCTCAAGTACAGTTTAACTTATACTCTTATCTTCTGCTTGGAAAAATCATGACTACAGAGGAGCATAATTTCAAGGGCTCTGGTAATAAAATCAAACTACAAAGGAACTTCTCTATAACAACGTCTCCTGGTAGTGAGGTTAAGTTTGAGATTGGTCTTCTTTTGGATCTGATCCGAAGAGATTTAATTAGTGAGGTACCACAAGGACCTCATTATGAGGGGCTGGGCTCTAAGCACAGAATCACAACATGCTTCCAACGCAGCTATTGCCTTAAAACACCTCGTTTCATTCATAAGGTGACATGATACCTTAATAGTCGTTTCATCTAAGAAAACCTCAGATTTAGTTAATAATTTTGTTCATAAGGAAGAACAAAACCAAATTATGTTCATTCACCTACACATCTAAACGCTCTAAATTCATGGCCTGCTATTTATAAATTTACAAAGCCTTAGCGACTTATGTCCATTTTTAAAGTTTAACATCTCATTCTTTCAGAATACATAAAAGAAAAATCCTATACTATAATAACCTGTTAGATGCTAGCATATAGAAGCAGACATTTCAAAAACACTTGGTCTACTATGTAAGCTGCCTTAATTGATGTACTTTCATTCTGCATATTTAAAACACTTATGTGTGCATATATATATACACACATACACACACACACACATATATACACACACACACACACACACTTTCACACATATCAATCATGTGAATTAGTGTGATGGCAGAAAACTCCCAACATGGTGATATAAAAGTAGCAGTGTGAGAACTCACATTCCTGGAAACAGGAGGCTCTGACATGGGGTGAGGCATAGAAAAGTGTTTCTCAGTGACAGCGGTAGCTGCCCAGGGGATTTCAGCATGACAAATGCATAGCTGACTCATGGGATCAATTATAAAGAAGCAATAATTTTTTTTCATGGTACTAAAAAAAATTCCATGTTCTCATCACTGATGAGTGTATATTAAGAAGTCAGATGAGTTCCCCTGATTGCTTTATTACCAAATCAATAGCCAAAGCCCCCCTTCCCCTCAAACCTACATGTGAATGCCTCACTACAGATTATTCCTGTTCTCAATAACCTTTCTCGTGATCTGTCAGTAAATTCAACTACAAAAAAAACCCCCCACATTTTTAAAAAAACTATTCAAGTGCAAAGTTAAAGCTGAATCATTAAAAAGCTTTAGTTTCTGATTATAAAAATCAGCTGCCCAATATTTGTCGATGTTAGTGATTTTGCTTTAAAAGAATTATTGGACTCATTTAAAAATATTTTTTAATTACGACAAAACTGGAAGAACAAATCAGTTGTAATTTACCCTCCCCTCCTCCAAGAAGACTATTATATCCTCTAAAAAACTGATTTCCCTGAAGAGAAAGAGCAACAATTCCCATTTTAAAGCAGTTCTCTATGACGTGCTATCAAAGCACAAGCAGCATTTGTGATACTTACTGAGTGTTTCTCCTGCTGGCCCATAACTCCATGGTTAGCTGGGATTGCTAGTGGTTTCATAATGAAGAAACATATGCTGAACTGAATTTACACATCATGTACCAAGCTCTCACGATGGCAAGTCACCCTCTACAGCATTAAATTAAAAGAAAAAGAAAGAAAGGGAGAGGAAAAAAAAAAAAAAAAGAGGGAGGAGGGAAAACCAAGCTGCAGCTTAAAGTGTCACTACTGGTAAGCTTAAAAACCCTTCACACTTGTAGACCAGAAAAGGAATCCGAACAACGGTGTTCGTCTCCATTTTTATAACATTGAAACTCTAACCATCTCAGGCTATGACAAGACCGAGAAAACCTCGTCCAGTTCTCAGTCTCCCAAGGAAACAAGATCATTTCTGAGAATGAAGAACAAGAGGCAAAAGGAAAGGAGGAAAAAAAAAAGAAAAGAAAAGAAAAGGAAAAAAGCTAAAATGGCTGACTGCACACAGACTCCCCTCAAAAAGGCTTAATACAGAATTATATTAGTCAGGGTGGTGTAAGAACTAGGCTCTCGCATTCAGCCGAGCATTGTTAACACCCTTGTTTCATTTGCAATCACACATACAGACCCCTCCAACCAAGAGAAAAAGAAAGAGAAAGGAAGAAAAAAAAATCAGGGCAGAGCGTGTGAATCGGGACCTCCTCCCTAGCTGCTAATGATGCTGACAGAGTGGTGACCAGTGATCTCTGTCCCACTCCACTAACCAAGTTTGCACAATTAATCTTAGCAGCATGACACTGATGGACATTTAATTTAATGATGTCTGTCCCTCACACTCAACACGAGCATGCCTGCTAGCAAGAGAGTCACTAACAGAGACACAGCACATGCACACACACAATCTCAAGAATCATGAGTCTGAATGCAATACACCAATATAATTACATTATTGTGCTTACTTTGGAGGACCATGGCTGCAGGCAGTTGGCATAGCAACGCACAAGGAAAGCCATTTCCTGGGTAGAGAGAAAGCTTCCTTTTCTAAATAAAAAATTCCTCTTAGGAAACAAACGGCATTGCTGCTTCCTGCAGAAAGCAAGACACTGTAGTCTGTCTCTTAACCTGCAAGGCTCACACTCAATGCAGTTCTAGTGATGTAAGTGGATTTCTCTCTCTCCCTCCCTCTCCCCATATACACTGAAATATTCAGCTCAAATGGCACACACATTCCTTAAGGCTCGCCCCCTCCTCTACTTAACCATTTCAGTCATTAAGGTAGCAATGGACAATTCAGATAAAGTAACAAGCTCTTGCCTGTATTCATATCAGCGGCTGTAGGTTAAGCAAGTCTCAGAGGGATGGAATCCATTGATTGCTGACTCCAAATAATATCACTGAAGACAGGGTGGGAAAATAGACCAAGGACTTACTTGAACAGCTTTGAACTAAAACATGATTTTTCACGAAGGTGAAGATAAAGGAATCTGTCTGACCTCTACCCTACCCTCAAATACTACCATGCTATAGTAAATAAGTATCTAGCAAAAATTTATAAAATGCATACTTGACAGGCTTTATAAAAATCCAGAAGATGTGATTTTCACAAACACCCACATACACACATACAAATGTACTACTGCCTTGCAAATAACATAGAAATAAACCCAACCAGGTCTTGATTTTTTTTCTAATCAACCAAACTTCTAAAGGTAGACAGTTGAAATTAAATGAGGATACTTTATTCTATCAGAAACTCTTGATTTCACCGAGGCATGTAGGTTATTTGAAAAGACTGCGTTATAGTTAACACAGAATAAGGGTGTTTCAACTCTGAAGCATGGGTCAGTTTCTTGCAACTGGATCTATATATGGCATATGTAATAGAAAACAGATATAGAAAATTTGCATTTTTAATAACTGACTTTGGAACTGACTATGCTTGATAACTTGTATTTCTTGGCTATCTACCTAAGACTGCACCCACCCTATTCTCTTTCCTTCTTTCTCCTCATATCTAAAGCTGACCATCCCCCTCCAACATCACTATGTTGGGTCCTGCTTCTCCCCACACACCTCAAACCCTTTCTTAAACTTTTTATATTACCCATCATCCTTGTTATCCACATGAATATAACCTCTCTCCCACAACCAGAGGTCCTCCCCACCAGCTTTTCAATGTGCAGGTCTCTTCCACTGCAAAACACAGCAGGACCAGCAACATTCCCTAGACCCCATGTTTTCCAGTGACCACACCTCTTCCCCCACTTCACAATCAAATCTCTCCAGAATCTAGTTTGGCTTTCATCATTTCTTTGTCCCACGCGCTACTCAAATGAAGAACCATAGTGACCTGGTCATACAATCTATACATCTAGGAATTCACCTCAACCCCTTTCTCCAGGACCAATCCACCACAATGTCTGCTTATTAATTTCTCCAATGTTTCTCAAAGTTAGGTTTCTTTTCATCTCTGCCACTATCCTCCCACTCCAAACATTAATCTTTGCCTTGAGAACTGTAAAAGTTTCCTTAATAAACTGTCTGAACTCCATTTTAATTCCATCCACCTCACTTATTTATCGTACTAGCTCCTGAGATCTTTAAAAGTTAGTATCTGATCATCTTACCCTCACTCACTGACCCCCTTTTACAAATTAAAACTCTTCCCTGGCTTCCCACTCTCAGTATAAGGGTTCTCGTCTTTGTGCCAGGAGCACTGGGAAGCCAGGGAAGCTGGGAGGTTGACGCCTTTCCCAGACTCACACCGCTCACCTCATGCTCATTCTCTGCACTGCAAAGTGCCTGGGCTGCTCTTCCTTATTATTTCCTCAAAAACTTTTCTCCTACCCCCCTTTTTTGATCAACTCCCAGAAAGTATATTGGTAAAATACCCTCACTTTTCTTCTCTTAAGCACTGATTTATGACAATCAGGGTTTTACAATTAGGCATGAAATTATTTAAGCAGCTGGTGTCTGCTTCCTCCACTTCACTTGCATCTCCACCATGGCTGGGGTCGTGTCTGCCCATGTGCATTGCCACAATACAGCACCCAGCGTGGGGCGTGCTACAGGCACTCACACTTCTGTGAATGAATGAACTCTCCATTCACTGGGAAGGGACATTGGCAACACCATATGTGATCTTATAGACAAGTTCCTGTCAAAAGCTCAAATACTTTTCCATAATAGATATATAATGAGTGGTTTAGAAGTAATGGTCACCAAAAGGTAGAAGCAACAAAAGTGTGAGGGCCGGGCGCAGTGGCTCACACCTGTAATCCTGGCACTCTGGGAGGCTGAAGAGGGTGATTGCCGGAGCTCACAGGTTCGAGACCAGCCTGAGCCAGAGCAAGACCTCATCTCTAAAAATAGCTGGGCGCTGTAATCCCAGCTACTCAGGAGGCTGAGGCAAGAGAATCACTTAAGCCCAAGATTGCTGTGAGCTGTGACACCACAGCACTTTGCCGTGGGCGACACAGTGAGACGCTGTCTCGAAAAAAAGAACTTCATCAACAGATATGAATATATAAATAAAATATGGTTTATACATACAATGGATATTACTGTCTTAAAAAGGAATAAAATTGTATTACAGGGTACAGCATAAATAAATCTTGCAAATATTAGACTAAGTGAAATAAGCCAGTCACTGAAGGACAACTGCTCTATGACACTCAACTTTAGGTACTATAGACGCCAAATTCTTATAGAAGGGAAGTCGGATGGTGCTTGTCAGGTGCTGGGGGAAGGGGAATTTAGGGAGCTACTGTTTAAGAGCTCCAGTTTAGGAAGATAAAAACCGTCTGGAAATGGATGGTGGGAATGGTTGCAAAACAATGAGAATGTACTTAATGCCACTGAATTGTATACTTTAAAAGTGTCTAAAATGGTAAACTTTAACGTTATGTATATTTTATCACAATAAAAACCAGAGTCAACTCGAGCCCTAAGTAATTAAGCTCCATTCACATCCTCCATACTGCTCATGTCCATGGGCCGAAAATTCTTCTCCAGGTTAAAGTCAAATTACTTCCATGCTGATGGTGTCTGGCCTTCCACGGGAAGGTTTCCCCTTGCTTGCCTCTCTCTGGAAAAATGTGTCACTTCTCCCAGGAAGGAAGCTAACCTAATCAGGGAACCTGATAGATGAGGTAAGGAAATCACACATCCCCAGGCACTGATGCTTCTCGTGCTGAGCTTTGCTGGGATCTCCCTCACAGCCTGGCTCAATGCCTACAACCTACGTATCTTCCTATCTTAACACTCATGATTGTAATTTGAAATTTTATAATCCACACTATTTGTATATTGAAACACAATTATGTCAGGTTACAATATGCCAAATACTGCTTAAGAAATGAAATAGAAACACAAGATTTAGGAGAACCGCTTATTATAGATTTTACAGGAACAAAAATAAATCACACTTACCTTGAAGTAGCCCCAATTTGGGTTATATTTACCCTATTTCTTAACCATCTAGATCAGCAAGCAGAATTCAACAGAGCCAGCTAAGAAAAAGAATCCTGTAACAACTTTCTCAGTTCTGTCAGGAAAATCTAATGACTTCAAAATTATTACTAACAATGCTCCAGAAGATGAAAGTTACATAGTTCAGGAAACTACGTAATGGTACAGGCTTTCCATACTAAAGTTAATAGCATTGTACTCACATTTATATTTTTCTACCTAAAGTATTCACTTTCTAATTAGTATGAAATGGAGAAAAATGGTTTGTTGTTCTCAGGAAGATTAATCATATTTAGAGCTTACACAGTGTTTGTCCAAAGATTCCAACCGCTCTAGGTTTCTGATACATTCACTTCACTTAATAGTTACACACTCATTTCTTCCCTTATCCTGGAGGAAAAATTAGAGGCTGGAAAAACCTTATAGATATGGCAGGAAGAAATTATTCTTTGACGCCAGGAAACAAGGAATTTTACTAATTTGATTTTTAATGTTTTGTTGCTTCCCAAAGAAATCATATATGAATACACCAAACCAATTAAAAATCAAGCCAATGCAAAATAAAGGACAACAGCTATGGTCAGTTTTCCTGCTCAGAATTTCCTAAACCAAATACATTCTCTATTAATTAGTGCTATACTTTCTTCTAAAAACAAAAGAAGACTATCTAATTTTTATACCTTAACTCAATCCTTCATTTCACATCATTTATTTCATTCACGGTTACACCGCCAGTCAATGGCATACCCTCCCCAAAGCAGTTCTACAGAAAATCTGGGCTAGAATTTTATTTTTCCACTTTGACCAAATGAAATGATACTTCGGGTTCATGATTAAAAATAATTTAATTACCACATAAAGCATGAAAGAAACCAATGTAATGTCCGATATAGTGAATGCTGAATAAACATTTTGTGTTGAATTTTAAAAAGGGCTTTAGATATACTAGGAATCTGTTAATGTTCAGTATCAGAAAGATTTAATTGAGAGTCTAAAACAAGATCACTCAGATATACTTCAGAGATAAATAAATCTTTAGGCTATTTCTCTTTTATAAAAAGTTTCTCACAGCAAACTCTTTACATTTAATCCAATTCACAATTAGAAAACTGAGCCGGTTGTAGTGGATCATGCCTCTAATCCTAACATTCTGGGAGGCCAAGGTAGGAGGATTGCTTGAGGACAGGAATTCAAGACCAGACTGGGTAATAGCAACTCTATCTCTACAAAATAGTAAAGAAGCCAGTAAGTCAGTGGGAAATTCCAACCTGGGGAATTAAAAATAGTTGTTTGAAAAAGACGAGCTGATATTAATAACAAATTTAACAAAGCTAACTTCATTTCCTAGAACCCCTTTTAAAAAAAATAGACTTCATCTTATAATGCTCAAGGTTTCAGAGGTAAAGTCCTTGAATATTGGTTACAAATCATTTCAGTGCTTTTTCTAGGGACACAGGCTTCAAACATGGCTTCCTACTATAATATTTTACAAACCAACACTCAGCTGTAAAGAACTAGTATTTGTATTACTAATTTGGCAGGAAATATATTACTTTCTGATTGATATGTTTACATGACCACAATGAATTATTAATTATCCCTCTGCTTTTATTTAAAAAAAAAATATGAAACATTGTATCACAAACCAGAATATAACCTTGTAAGTTAGCTGAGGTCAGGAACTGTACAACATTTTATTTATCTGATATTGTCAACAATAGATTATGTTTTATCCCTAGCAGTTGTCATGTAGTAATTGTTAAAATAGAGAATAAGTGTATATAACTATTATGTACCCATAAAAATTTCAGATTAAAAAATTCAAATTAAGAAGATTTTTTAAAAAGAATGACTACATAAATGTTTCACATGAACTTTAAAACTAACCCATAAAGTATTATTCCGCAATTTTTAAGATAAGGAAACAGGCTGTGTAATTGTAAAAGATGTTTAAATTCTTTACTGACAAACTCTGGGGTTTTCAATAACTTGGTAAGTAAAAAGTGCAGGCTACAACTGGCAAATTTAACTGTAACAGGGATAAACATAAAGACCTCCATGTGTACTATCAAAACGCCACTTGTAAGGGCAGGGGAGATCTGGCCTGAGGAACAATTCATAAGGCAGGGATAGGTAAAAAGAGTTATCTGTAAAATTGAGCTAGCTAAGAGCTATGATCCCATGCACAATCCCAAAAGCCTTAGTATAATTACTATAATTTTAGGGTACATTATCAGATATATGATGTTCAGGGCAAGCAAGACAGGAAGTTCTGTTGTAATCTATATACTAGAGTGAGGCAGAACTTTATGTAAACAATGACAACCAGTAACTAAGAGAAATGAGAAGTTATAGTATTCAAATGGCAGAAAACCTAGAGGATAAGGTGTTTAGGAAAGCGATGAAAAGCTGGTAACGTTTAAGAGGTTTAGAGAAGTAGGATCTTCTTAAATACCCAAGGCACAGTTGTATGTATATGGGATATTAATATTTCATTTGTTACTTTAAAAGAGATCTAGAACCAGGAACTAAAATTACTGAGGAGATTTCAGCCAAATAGTTTTTCTTTTTTTAATTTCAACAGATTTAGGGGTTACAAGTAATTCTTTGTTACATGGGAGAATTATACAGTGGTGAAGTCGGGGCTTTCAGCATACCCATTGCCGGAATGGTGTATATTATACCCGATAGGTAATTTTTGATCCTTCATCTCCCTCTCAGACATCAAAGTCCATTACTGAGGACTCCTCTGTGTGACCATGTACCCCCACCTGAGTCTCCAAAGTCCATCATACTCTCCTGACCATGTAGACCCATTGTTTACCTCCCACTTATAAGTGAGTACATGCAGTATTGTTCTTCTGTTCCTGAGAGAGATTGTTAAAAAGTTTCCTTTCTTTTTTTTAAGACAGAGTCCCACTCTGTTGTCCAGGCTAGAGTGCTGTAGGGTCGGAGGTCCCTGTTTCCCAACTCACTTGACCTGGTTCAATTACTCCATGAGTTAGAAAGTTCAACTGAAGCACAGAGAGAAGAAAGCAAAAGTGGGTGGAAACCAAAACTAAAACTGGAGTGGCACAGGCAGTGTGGATACAGAGCAAGAGGAACATACACAACTTTCAGAGTAACAAAGAGAGATTTTTATTTAGGAAGAACAAAGAGAAAGTTTAGAGTACTTCCAAAGAGAGTTGGAAGTGGGACCCTCTCATGAAGGAGAAAGTGTGATAGTGGGAAAAGCAAGGGCCTACAGGGCTATACTCTGTTGGAAATTGGCCTCTCTACCCGGCCAGGCAATATTGCTCTTTTCTATTGGTCACTGACTGTATCTCTCTATTGGTCACTGGTTACCTAGGTTACTTCATCCCACACTCTTATAGGCCCTCCAGACTTCCTGGTTCAGCAGGTCAGGTTTTCCTCCCACCCTCCTTGAAGCCCCTTTTTTAGTGTCTCTTCTCAGATCAGCCTGCTCACAGCAACCTCAAACTACTGGGTTCAAGTGATCCTCCTGCCTCAGCCTCCTGTCTTTTCACATTCTTAAGGTGGTCTTATCTAATACCACTGTCACCAAACATGTGCTGATAACAAAATGGTGGTAGAGAGAGTGGCATGACTTGGAATGACAGAAAAAGAGAGACCACATGAATGCAACTGCATCTATCTTGGGATAAAATTTCCTGGTAGTAACTATCCTTTATTGCAAAATTTTTGCCTTTCTACTTTGGCAGGAGGAATATTAAAATGCCCTTAGTTTTTTTTTTTTTTTTTTGGGGGG